TCAACATCCCTAGTAATTAGGGAAATGCAAATTACAACCACCCTAAGGTATCACCTTACCCCAATCAGACTGGCTAGGATCAAGAGAATAAATGATACCAAATGCTGTCGAGAATGTGGAGAAAGGGGAACATTCATTCGCTGCTAGTGGGTTTGCAAACCTGTGCAGCCTCTGTGGAAAACAATGTGGAGAACTCTTAAAAAAACTAAAAATGAACTTACCATATGACCCAGTTATACCACTCCTTGGCATATACCCAAAGGACTCATCCTATTGTAGAGACATTTGTACAACCATGTTTGTTGCTGTTCTTTTCTCGATACCTAAGAGATGGAAGCAACCTAAGTGTCCCCCAACTGATTAGTTAACAAAAATGTGGTATATTTATACAATGCAGTTCTATTCAGCAGTAAAGATGAAATAATGAAATTTGCAGGTAAATGGATGGATCTAGAAACAGTTATACTAAGTGAAGTAACACAGACTCAGAAAAACAAACAACATATGTTCTCCCTCATATGTGGCTCCTACACCAAATCCTTTTAAATTCCAGGTCCTTTTAATAAGATGATGCTGTACAACAGTCCCTTCTGCATGAAATAACTACCATTATCATGACTTCGGCTGAGCCTGATTGCTAAACACATTCACAATTGGGCTTGCTGACGGTTGTCCTCATTCATTAAAGGAGTGCCAAGCAGGGTCACTGGACCCTCACCTGAGTATCAAGCCACTCTTCCCAGCCAACTAGTCCAGCCTTTGAAGGCAAAAGAAAAATGAGGAAGAACCCAATAGAGGGATGATTTTTGGGAGCCCTTGTCAAGAAACTCCAATGGACTTTCATACAAACATTTGAAAATTGCCCTGTTCTGACTTTTCTAGTTCCGTGTCTAGAACTTGTAATGCTAATTACTCTTACCTTCACATTGCCCATTCATGATTCAAGGACTTTCTTCTTCCCTTAGAGACAAGAGTATGCAATTTGGGAGTCTTTTAGATAGAGCCTCTGAAGGTTAACTTGAATCACCTCACCCTGCATCCCTGTTCAGCATGGAAGAACCCAGAGTGGCAGGCGACCCTATTCCCTATTGGCAATCTGGGAAACCCCTTCAGAGGATGGTGTGATAAGAATAGGAGGTAGGAATTGGCTAGGCAGTTAGGGTAAAAAGACCCCAAAGAAATGTAGCCAGTTTCTTGGCTAAAAGTCAAAATGTCTTTGGGCCTGTTAGCAATATATTCTTTTCCAAAGGCCAAGAATGTCAAAAGTATTGGGGAGCTTGTATTTAATCCTTAAAAGATTTTAGGGTTACCTCTTCAGAGGGGGGGAATGTTGGAGGGGAGGGAGTGGGCATGGATTTGATTAAAACACCCTATATACATGTATGAAATTCTCAATAAAGTTCTTGTAAAAATTAAAAACAAACTAGTAAAAGAGAAAAACAACATTACTCCCTTCCCAGGATAATGGAAAGGGAGTATTTTTTTTTACTAGGTTTTTTTTTTTTTTTTAAATTTTTACAAAAACTTAACTGAGAATTTCATACATATATATAAGGTGTTTTGATCAAATGCATGCCCACTCCCTCCCCTCCAACAGTCCCCCCTCTGAAGAGGTTACCCTGAGTTGTTGGCCAGGGTGGCCAAAGGGATTCCCAGATAGTAAACCAGCATAGTACTGGGAAAATGAACAGCAGACCCCAATCTTATCCAAAGGAATATTGACAATTGATTACTGCTAGATGAGGAACAGCTGACCCTCCTAAAACAAAGACCTCTAGATAGGCTGACTAGATTCACCAGAAGGGCAAGTTGTGGGGAATGGCTGGGGGTGCCGACAACACAGCAGACAGTAGCAGGGATATCAGAGTATAAGGGCTCTAGTGGGGGGAGGGAGGCTATGGGAGGGTCCTATCTGGAAAGTGGGTGTAAAAACAAATAAGTTAAAATAATAATAATAATAATTCTTCAAAGCATAAAAATTTGCTCCTTAACAATTGGTGGATGTGAAAAACATTACCACTGAAATCTACCTGATGACTTTATATCCATGCTCAGATGCCAAGGAGCTCAGAAAGTAACTGACTGTGACTAGTAATAATCAGATATATAGAGATTAGAAATGCATGTGCATCTTAGTGTCAATTATATTGAAAATGAATTTTTCTGTATGAAACTGTGTATTTTAATAGTAAAATGGAGATCTTTTTTAAAGTTTAAAACCTCATTTAATTTTATCTTATAGGGTTTATACTGAGTATATAGGGTTTATACTGAGTATATTAATTCAACGGTATACCTAAAAATTTACAGCCAGTTTTGAAGGAGATGCATCTTAGCTCTGGAAATTGTTATTGAATATGTCAATGCTGCTGTAATGAAATGCTTCTTCTGATTGTGTGGTTATTAAATAAATAATTAAGAAATACTCCCTTTAATGTAAAAAAACAAAAGCTATATATAAACTAACAAATTTAATCATTAAGAAGGAAGTAAAGAGGTCCCAAAAAGTTAATTTGATATTACTATAACTAGTGTTCAACACAGGAAGAACACAGGTATCACACCATTTTAAATGAGCTATCTTCTAAAACGTATTCATAAATTGCTTGTTGAGAGACAGCTGTTTGCATAAAAATCTATGGTAACTATAAGTGAAAATTGAATATTTCAGATGGTCAAATTTTGTTATTTAAATAAAATTAAGATAAAATAAGAAGAAAAGTGTCAGTAAGAGGTCTTTCTGAACTCTTAGAAACCTGTTTAAGGCCATAGTCAGGTCACGAAGAAAGCAAATCAGGCATTAAGAAGGATTAATTGAAACTGTGGGTCCGGTATGTTGTAGGACAACAATAGAAATCTTCACATCTTTAGACAGATTTGAAACTGGACAAAGGGAGAACACTCATTTTGGTATGTAACAATGCTTATGAATGACACTCAGTACTTGTGAATGCATGGAATTAGAGTACTGCCATGTACAGTGGAGAAGAGTAAGGAGCAGAGGCTGAGGCCATTGGCTCCTGGAGAAGTGCTCTATACTACAGTGTTTCATACACAATGCTTCATTGTCTAACCAAACAAACTCAGTCCTAATCATGATAACTCGTGAAAAAAACATCCTATAATTTTCTACTTTCAAAATGTAATATTCCAAATGAAAGTACTATGACAAAATATATGTACAAATAAAAGGCATCACTTTCTGGCATATAAAACTCAGAACTACAGCATATATGTCTCTCTCTCTCTCTCTCTCTCTCTATATATATATATATATATATATATATGTATATATAATATACACACACACATACATATATGTTATATATAATTTTTAAATAAAACCACAAACCTTTACTAGCTTTGTCTAAATGTTCCAAATCATCCACAAAATTCAGGATGTCAGGGTACTTTTCTTCACATATGTCCACCAGAAAATGAAGTAGTGTTGTTTTCTGATCTGCTGATTTTGTATCCTTTAGCTAAGTGAGAGAAGGGAGAAAAAACACACAGTCAAAAATATTTTAATAACCTATGACTCAAGTAATGGTCACACTATTTTGTAGATAAGAAGTTGGTTGAAAAACTTGTTCTAGTTATGAAAATATATGAAAAGCTATATTTTATTTGGTGTCTGTTCAAAAATACAAATATTAATAAAACAGAAAGAACTCTAACCCAATCTCGCATGCAGCATTATTAATGGGGAAAATTATGGTGAAATGCCTAAGGTAACAGAATAGCCTGTGTGTCTACATCACAAGTAAGGCCTAAAACAACCTGGGTTGCTGATTCTTGTCATTTAGCACATATTCAGACTGCATACTAGATATTGGAGTTTCAGGTAGATAGAATGACAGACAAAATCTTTTTAAAGAGTTGTTTTTATTTTTTGAATGAAATATGCAGCATATATGGACATTTGCTATGGTGTTAAAATACTTAAGGAGAACATCAAGAAGGACTTGATATTGGAGAGGAACCACTGAAAACAGGAGGTTAAATAGGTTTAGGGAGGGGCAGGAGAAATTGCCAACTATAAAATCACAGGCAGACAGCTTTGTAAAGGGCTTCCATAATGGACTTGTGGTTTCCCTCAGGGGTCTATTTGTTGGAAGTTTGGTTTTCAATTAGTAATGCTGGGAGGTGGAATCTCTAAGCAACAAGAACTGCTGAGACCACCCCCCATACACATACTACCACCACCAGAGATTTCTCCTGTGACTCCTTGGTGCGTCTCACAAAACAGCATAATGAAAACCCTAAGCTCACCCAGTCTCTATGTATCCTAAGATGTGAGCATTTGTACCCAAATATACACACCACTGCTGTCTACCACGGTGTGATGTGCAGAGATGGGGCTTGCCAAAACTGAGGCTAGGCAGGCACCATGTCCTAGAACCAGCAAATATGTGAAGTGAAAGAATGTCAGCTATCTCAGGTGCTTTGGTATAGTAACACAAAGCTCACTAATGCACACATAGGTGAGGAAGCATGGTACATTTGAGGAGGCTAAGTGACTGCCAACTAAAAAATGTATATGCCGTGGGAATAGGCAAATAGGGACAGAAGATACAAATCTGAAAACAGCAGAGAATAAAATAAAAATATGCCTTGTAATAGAAATAAGCTTTTATTTTGAAGCAATGACAGCTAAGAAGCTAGATGGGAGATGATAATATATACATTTTAAAAACTTCCCTCCAGTGTGATGTAGAGAAAGGATTAGGGCAAAGGAAAAGAAGCATGAAGGCTAATTTTTTTAAAAAGTGGCAATAATCCAGGAAGGAAAATAAGGTAGTCTACAAGTCTACATGGAGGACGTGCCCTATGGAGGTACTGGACAGAGTGAGAAGTGTTGCTCCTTAAAGAGAGAAGTCACAAAGGATGAGAAGCAGATTAGGGTGGGGTAAGCAAAGAAAAAGACTGTTTCAATTTGGGGCAAAATGAACCTGGTTTATAATTAATAATGCAATTTTAAAAGTCTTAGAAGGATGGAGAGTTGCATAGAAGGTATTTCTGGGCTTTTTGGTTTCCTTTTCATGAGTACTTTGGCTCTCTATTCTTAATTGTTTCTACTTAGGAAATTTTAAAACAATAACACTGTATTCATATTTATGTCCTTGTTCTATATCTACACTTTATACATAAAAATCAATAAAATTAGTCTTGTGCTCCCTAAGAACCAACTTTCTATCTCTCAAGGATGATACTACCCCTGTTCTTGGTCCCCTTTGCCACCAAAATTAATGAGTTCAAATGAATTCAAACAGGTGTGTAGAATGAGGGAGGAGAGGAGAAAGGAAGAATAAAAAAGGGCTTGAGGAGACAAGGGTTGACCAATCCCTGCCTCAAAGCACCAAGGAATGCCATCAAGAGGAAGTGTTTAAGCCAACATCTGACAGAAGAATGGAAGTCAGTCTGGGTTTTACTTGGTGATTGGGTCTACCAAGTTTGATCACAAGAGTGGTATGAATACAGATTTAATATGATTTGACAGCATTCCCTAGCACTGAATAATCATTCATATCAGATACACATGGAAAGGACACAATCAACAAACAAATCACTCTTCTTATAAAAGAGTTTAATCCAGAGCTGGATGGAGCTCCTTGGAGTGTCTAAGTATGCTGCTTCCTTCTCAACAAATTCCCAGTTTAAAGCAGATGTTTGCATTTGTGTACGCTGTGCTATACAATTTTTTTTAAGATCCTAAAACTATTGTACAGTTAAAAACATGGGTTCTGTGTCATCACACAAAATAACACACTACTTATTAAGGAAAAAGACTGTAGCACAGGAATAGCTGGACTCCCCATCTGATAGCCTGACTTTGATATCAATATGAAAGGTTTAAATGCTATGGTCTACTGAGTATATAGCTCCAAGAATAGCTCCTGGGCTGGGAGTGTAGCTCAGTGGTAGATTACTTGCTTATGGCCCAGAGTTCTATCTTTAGCCCTAACACACACACACACACACACACACACACACACACACGCACGCACGCACACACACGCACACACAAACACATCATAACCACTACTACCAACAAAGAATATTCCTGGCACTTCAAAAACAGGGTTAAGATAAACAGCCCATACATTGATACTTTGTTGAAAAAGGACATTGATATCACTACATCCAGTAGAGTATTTCAAGAGTCTTTAAAATAAAATGCTCCATTATTATGCCACTAATATATGTGGATCACCTACTAATCAGAAACATGCCCTCAATAAGTTAGTAGCCTTGGGCAAGCCATTGAGTCTAGTTTGCATACAGGTAAAATAACAGAATGGAATTAAACATAAAAAGAAACTGTAGATTCAATTTCAAATTCAAACATGGGGAGTATGCATTAAACCTAATCTGAAAAATCAGAATATGAAGAATAAAGAAAACACATGTTTTAGTTTAGAAGTCATTTTTGTATGCTAGGGTTGCATGACATTTTTGTAGGCATTTCAGTTTTTAGACATATCCCAAGAAAGTTGATCTGGTTTATAACTTTCCTCACAACTGAATTTCACTGTCATTTTTACAAGTTAAAGCCAGCTTAGACACAGCAAATATTCACACAAATGAGTTGCACGTAAGTTTTATTCCTATTTATTTATTTATTATTTATTTATTTTGGTCTTTTTGAAACAGGGTCTCCCAGTAGCTCCAGCTGGCCTGGAACTCACTATGTAGACCAGGCTGGCCTCAAACTCACAGAGATCCACCTGCCTCTGCCTCCCAAGTGCTGTCCAATTTATTTTTTTTAAAAATCATTCTAATAGCAAAGCTGTTTTCTTCCTTCCTTCCTTCCTTCCTTCCTTTCTTTCTTTCTTCTTTCCTTCCTTTCTTTCTTTCTTCCTTCCCTCCTTTCTTTTTGTCTTTTTGAGACAGGGTCTTCCTGTAGCCCCAGCTGTCCTGGAACAGGCTGGCCTTGAACTCACAGAGATCCACCTGCCTCTGCCTCTGGAGTGCTGGGATTAAAGGTGTGTACCACCACACCTGGCTACCTTCTTTCTTTTTACTCATTTTATGTTAGCAACTACTTGGGGCACACTGTTCCTACTGTGAATGCTGAGCCACTAGCTGTGACCAGTCACTGCCTTTCTATGCTGTGTTCCTTCATGAGAAACTGACTGGTCCTATGTAGGATGCTGATTAAGACAAACACTATCAACCTCTATAATTTATAGAGGCATAATAAAGTTTTCCAAAAATTCTTTGGCTACAGCTAAAAATTCAGTAGCTATGAGGATTAATATCTTAAGAAAGCTATGACAAAAGTACAACCTACTGGATCAGCCTCAGTGTTCTTTCATGAGCAGTAATACTGAAGAATTCATATTCTAGGGCACAATATAGTTTGTAAATATTCTTCCAGTTGAAAAAACATTAAATATTTAGATTCAACACAGGTTCAGGTGTTTAGAGACAATATAAAGCTAACACTAATTAAGGGAAGGGGATGTCATGACAGGCCATCATATCGAAATCACGTAATATTCAAAAGCATAGTCACTAAATACTAATTATTAATACTAAAGAGAAATGCAATTCCACCATCTTTCCTAAACCTGTATTTAATTTTGAGACTTAAACAGAGCTAGGCATGGTGGTGCTCACCTTTAATCCCAGCACTCGGGAGGCAGAGACAGGTAGATCTCTGTGAGTTCAAGGCCATTCTGGTCTACATATCAAGTTCTAGGTCAGCTGGGGCTACAGGGAGACCCTGTCTCAAAAAGACCCAAAACAAAACAAAACAACAACAAAACACCACTCAAACTTCCAAATGAATCTGAGACTAGCTTAGTAAAGGAAAAGGTGAGATAGGGAGCTTCTGTTGCTAATGCTTAGAGCCTTCCTCACAAAGGGCTCTGCTGCTAACTCCAGGCAGAGCTGCTTCAGTCTTGTTCTTAACACTCTAAAGAAGAATCAGGTACCCTTCCTACCTCAATGACTGTTCTCTGTCACACACACAAAAATAATTTAATGAAGAAATAAAAAAGGAAGTTTTCAAAAAAAAAAAAAACAACAAAAAAAATCAAAACAGAAACAGAAATCAGAACAAAATATAAGTAGCAAGATCACTCAATTTGTGCCCTTGTCCCCTATATATGAAAATTTCAAATTTCTTTACATTAACAAAAAAAGGCACATTCAGTGACTGAGTTATAACAAAAGCTTGGGAGACAGTGTTAATATTGTTGAAATGAAAAATAACAAGCACACTTTGTAATGCTAGCTCTTGGAAAACAAATGAAACTAAAGTATTTCTTTTAAAATCTTCATGTTAAAAATGTTTTATTTGAATCTTAAGAGACATTACTTGACAGAATTTCCTTTTATATTATTTTCAGGAGATTTATCCAACTGATGGCAATCACCACTGTTAAGCAGAATTCCTTATTCATGTACTGTTTCTTTAAGGTATATTTAATGTGGTATAAATGTCAAATAAACAAAAAGATGGATGCAGTGTCTT